TTGCGAGGCGAGCCAGGCAAAGTTTGGCGGAGCTTGGTCAGGAGCAACTGGGGCCGCTTGTGTGTTCTGCTTTCGCTGTTCTTCCAGACCGGCGGCCCACTTCTTCATCATCTCTTCGGTCTGGAACTTAATCATGAAATTCTCCACGCCCGGATCGCCCTTCCACCATATTTGTACGGTATACGAACCTGCACAGTCAGCAACTGTTGTGTTCCGCCGAGAATTCCAACTGTGTCGCTTACCAGGCTTGGAAATGGCTACTACATCGGTGACATTGGTCATGAAGATGCGGCCCTTGAGTTGTAGTTTGGCGAACTTGTTCCGCACCTTTGGTACGGATGATCGCGTCTTGTCCTTCTTGTCCTTGGCTTTAGTCGTAGTGAGTTCCTTGCAACAGAGCAAGATATTCTCAAAAAGATAGATCTCATACTGCTGAGGAAGGTTAGCGGTCCATTATCAGCTCGTCTTGTACCAGCAAAAAGAGGAACGCATGCGCCAGGGGGAGATACGTACGTCCTTCTCTTGTTCACTCTTGCCCGTTATAACAGTGTATACTCCGTGTAGGAGCAGACTTCCAAAGTTGTCCACCTTATGGCTCTTCCAGTCGTCTACTCGGTGTATAAGGTCCTGCAAGGCCTCTTCGAGGATGTTCTTATCAACGGCCGAATTGGCTTTCATCAAGACCCGTTCAGCAGCAGCGATGCCGGCAGCTAAATCTTCCTTGGTGTGCTCGTCCTCGCTCTTCTTGAGCAAATCCTTTAAGAACAAGCCAATTAGTATGCGCATTAGTACCATCAAAAGGACGCAGCATCCATACCTTGAGCAAAAGCGGGTACTTGACCAGTCTCTGCATAGGCTTGAGGAGGAAACCATCAAGGGTATTAAAATCACACGCGACCGGATGGCCAGCCTCTTGGATCTTGTCAAACACTTGCGTCGCAACCTGGGCTGCCTTTCTTTGGTTCGCGATAAAGGGTTGGTAAATGCCAAAGTTCTCTTCAGCTGTGACGAACAAGCTTCCCCATTCCTGCCTAGCCTGCGGCATCGAATTTGTTGTTTCTACCCTGATGAGGAACTTTCGTTGATGATCCAAGATGGCGTTGATATTAAGGAATATGTCGTGGATGAATTCGCCAGGGATAACGCTCCTGTGTTCCAGCGTCCTCTTTAGGTCGTGGAGGTTCTCGAGATCCTGTACGTATTTGCGCTCCGTGTCTACCATTTCTCGAACAATGTAATCGCGATGGGTCATCTTAGAACCCGGCTGCGTGATATCATCTTCGGGGTATGGCAGGGTTTGGAGCAAGAGGCCCCGTTTTTCGGCAAGATCGAGCACATAGTTGATAACAGAAGTCACCTGGTTTCCGAACATGTGCTTTCGTCAGAATATACTGTTCCATCAAGTGTGCAAGTGGAAAAAAGGGGGGCGCCATAAGACTCGCTCACCTTGACAAAGCCGGTGGTATCCTCCCCTGTAAGGTCGGCGACGATAAAGCATTCGGTAACGGGAGGGTCGAGGTCGCTCAAGCAGGCCTTGACGAATTCCATAATGGCGCGTTTGGACCGTCGCGCTTCCGTCTCGTTCGGCCTCTGATCGACGTGTAGCGGTTTCTCGGGTTGGAGCGCATTGTAGATGGTGAGCAGGGGCAAACCGGTGCGAAGGAGCTTCCAGAGGGCCTCGACGGGGCCATCATGGCCATTCTCCTGCTCGCGCTGCAGTTGTTCTAGATAGCCCTCGAAGCCGGGAACCTGGGCGAGGCGTTGTTTGAGCGACAAACATATTTGGTACAGCGATCGCGAGGCGTCGGCTCTCTGGTTGATGATGTTTGTGGTGGCGACAACCTGGCCGTTCACGGGGGTAACGGCGGTGGCGGACGAAGTGAGCGAGCTGAGCGAAGTAGAGGAATTGAAGGCCGTCGAGCCCGAAAGCTGGCTCGCGCGCGCGGCGTTGGACAGGCTCATGTTGTTCAATCTGGCGACGCCGTCGGTCGACGCTTGAAATACAGGGGCGGTGTTCGTTCGTAGAAGAGCAGCATGGGCCATAGTATACTTTAGGTCTCCATTCGCAAATGGTCGGTGGAGACTCGTGCTTGGTGCCGCGAGGCGCGGGGGGGGAGGGAAGAGGAGCCGGGAGGGGGGGTGGGTGGGTGTGTTGCCCTTTGGAGGCTCGAGGGGGGTTTAACGTTCAACGTTCAACGGCTTTCGAGCGCCGGCGGGCTGTAATTGCTGCTGCTGCTGCTGCTACTGCGGTGTGTGGGAGACACTGATTGACCGTGATGGATGGACGGGACTGACGGGGTCGGGGTTGCCGTGCTGCGAGATGCGTCTTGCTGCTGCTGCGTGCTGTTGTTGTGGTGCTGCAAATGCCGACTGCGCTGGGCGATGATTGACTGTAGGTGATTTCGTTGCAACTTGCGAGGCCGGGGGTAGCAGCAGAGCCCTCAATCAACGCGAGTGGAGAGCGAAGATTAGGGAGGAGATGGCTGGATGCCGGGTATCGCTCAACGGCGCTTGCTTGGCTGCCTTGCTTGCTACTACACTACCTAGGTAGGTACCGATGGAAATGTCCGACACGCGTGGAGAGATGAAAGGTTCACTTGTGGCGTTCTTGGTTAAGAGGAACCGGGTCAATTGCTGTGTCTTTGCAGAAGAAGCACAAAGTTAAAAGTTGTCAAAGAATGAATGAGTGGGAGAAGAATAATCCGAAAATGGTCCAGTCCCGTCCTTGTCAATCAATGACTGATAGTAGGAGTAGAGGTAGAACGGGGAATGGAGCGAGTGGGTTCACTTGTGGTGCTGAATGACACAACTGACGGGGTTGCTATCGTTATCGCGGTTCTGGCGTCGGCAAGTAGGTACGCTGTTGCTCTGCGCCCCCTTTGCGGCGATGTGTATTTCGATTGAGTCCGTGGTCTGTGTGTGTGGTCTGTGATATCGCGGGTACAAACAAGGCGCCCTCGTGTTGGTTTCTTAGTGAAGGGAAGTGGTTACCTGCTTGATTTCATTCCGCGTCGCTTAAGGTAGTTACTCGCCCCCAAGTCACGCTGAGCCGTTGAGAAATTGTCAAGGCAAGTACCGATCGGGAAGGGAGACGGCAGATGGTTCGTTACATATGTACACACTACACTAGTACTAGGAGGTAGGTTAGGTAAGAAAGGAAAGGTGTCCGGTCCCTTCAGCCCCGGAAGGCTGTCCTTAATTCAAATGCACGAAACTTGAGCCCCCGCAATCCGACGATATCTTTTTTCTGTCTAAGCGGTTCGATACGTCGTTACAAACAGAGGCTAGGGACTTGTGGCAAGCAATTAATTCTGGTTGGTCGATGGGCAGAGTACACGATACGGGCAGTCGTCCAGTCAACGTGCAAGCCAGCCCAGGCACACACTTCAGGGTAGGGGTTTAGCTTCGGGCTCTGTGGGTTTCGGGCTCGTACTGTTTTGGCGTGGTCGGCTGCTGCTGATTCCTGTCACTGAATACCTCATAGGTCAAATAGAGAGCGAGGTAAGGAGGTAGTGTAGGATGGAGGTAGGAGGCAGGTGGCCTATTGGGGTGGGAGGGTGTGCGAGATTGACGAGGGCGGGCGGCAGGGCGGCGGCTGATGTCTTGCGGCGACGGCTTGATGCCGCCAGCTTTCCAAAATAATCACCGGATCATGATGACTCTTCGCCAAAGCGCCAAATTGAACTGGGCTTCTGAAGGTCTGTCTGTGTCAGGTTCTACCGAGCGTTTAAACTAGGTACCTACCTGTCTCCAGGGTTTCGCCCTTCCTGGTGATGACACCCAGATAAGGACGCTCGAACTGAAGAATACAGCCGAGTATGTCACCAACACGAGCTGGGTGTGAAAAACCACACCCACCACTCGTACCAATGCAAATACGTGCGTACGGGTTGAAAGTGTAACGAGATTGGGTTTCATGGGGCGCTCGCGGATGCAAGGGCGAGAGTCAATTCTCCATCATGTTTGGATGATCCAGTCCGACTGGTAAATGTGTGCGCATAAACGTATCCATCTGCAAGTGGGATGATCTTGTGTCTAGGTAGCTACACTACTGCAGCATGGTAGGTATTTACTACGACACCATGACATTGTACAGGAAGAGGATGGAAGTGGAAGTAATCAACATCATGGTAGCCGCTCTGGAGTTTCGGATGGAAAGAGCAAAGGAAAAAAGATCAAAAAAATCAACAATGTTCGAAGGCAATGGCATTGATTGTAGTGTACAGTTCGGCATGAAAGTTGCCCCTCTCTTAGGTCTTTGAGTGTAGGTAGTGTACATAGAGGTTGTATGTGGTATCGTCCCACATGGAAGAAAACGGCATAATAAAACAAAAAAGAAAGGGTCGTGAGGCTCTCTCGTCACAACTCCCTCGCGCTTCCTCTTTGGCTCGACTGGCTCCACACATTGGGCATTGATCAAATCAGGGTCCCCGCCCAGGGTTCCCTTTTCGAGCTTTCGCAGACCCACTCCAAAAGGCACCAAAAGCACGCTAGCCTTCTTTCGGCTTCACTGTCCGGTAACAGTGGGGAACCCCAGAAAGCTTGGTGATGGATGTCCAGATGCGAGGACGGAAATTAAAAAAGGATCGAGTCCACAACATTAGTGAAGACAAAATTCCATCATGGTGAGCATGCCAGATATACAAGTTTCCACATTCAGGTTGGGATACCTGGATAGTACATACATGTATGTAAATACACAAGGTACCAAGGTAGTATTCGTCTGCAGCGTCTCCCTCTCACCTCGCTTCCCACGTGGCTGCCATCTGCTTCTGCTTCTTCTTCCTGTTCCATCTCCAGGGTCAAAGACCGTTTAGTCGTTCGGTCGTGAAGCGAGGCACTAGCAACCTGGAAAGGGGTGAGGAAGGGGGTGGGAGAACGCTTGAAACGCTCATCTCCGAGTGCCGAGTTGGTCACACGAAGGGGACTGCTGATACCCAAACGAGCTTGATAGGGTCAAGGCCTAAGCATACATACGTTTGAAGCGAGAGAACAACACCAATTCGCCTCTATTCCATTCAAAGTCTGAGGTAGATATGTCTCTAGCAAAAGCCAAAGTCTAGTAGTCTATATCCAGAGTTTCTCTCAAAACCGCAAATAATCCAACTCCACATTCCTCGCCAACTTCGCAGCACTCGTCGCAGTCGCATAACCACACCCAAGACCAGCGCCATAACTCCCTTCAACCTCCTTGATCCTCCTCTTATTACCCCTATGACCTCCTCCTCCCATGCTGCCCAGCAAATCACTCAAGCTGACGCCATACGCTGCTGATCCGCCGCTTGGGCCCTCTCCTCCTCCCTTCGCGCATCCATCTTTGCCACCACCTGCCGCACCCCCTTGATTTTCCCTCACAAAATCGTGCTCATTGACAACATCAACATCCTCATGCTCATGGTCATAATTCCCGTCGTCTTCAACATCCACCTCTCGACAAAGAGACAGGTCAAAGTTTATACCCGCCGCCGACACCAGCGCGTCGATGATGGCTGACTTGTCAAATTTGGGAAAGAGGTCCGGGTGGTCTTGCTTGGTTACGCGGGCGTCTCGTTTATAGGGTGCTACGTTTGTGGACTGCTGCGCACGATGGTGGGCATGAGTGATTTGTTGGAACCTGGCCAAGTGGTGGTGGCTTGTCGTTGTTAGTGTGGGCATCGGCGCCATGGTGGTGTTTGTCATGGATGTAAGCGCGGCGGGGTTGATGGTTTTGCTGGCATTCGATGTTACGGCGATGGGGGGTGACGGCTCGGCAAGCCATTCTTCGATGATGTTGCTGTCTGAATCCTCTCCCTGAGCTGAAGCTGTGAATGGTGCCGGGGCAGAGATTGAGACTTTGGAATCCTGAGTGGCTTCAGAGGAGGCCTTGCCCGGATCATTCTTTGGCCCCCCCGAATCTGAGCTATCCTCGATGGCGGTCCTGTTGGCATCAGTGCCCGAAGCAAGAAGGATATCTGCAGTCTCTTCTGCCGTGTCGCTGCCATCCTTGTGGCTGCGAGAAGACACAGTTGGCGTGCTAGCAGCTCTGGAAACAGAATCTGTTTCGGCATCCTCTTGATTCGACTCCTCTGTTCCTTGTTGCTGCTCCTCACTCGGCTCCTCCATTACCGTATCAAGCGCCGTGGCTTCCAAAAATACAAAATCGAAGAGCGCGTTGTTGTCAGTGTACGTGTCCGGGATCGGCATGTTATCGTCTTTGGCCTGAACATCCCCGGAATCCCTAGGAGAAGTCAATGGCGGTGTAGGATATGACGAGGTGCCACCAAAACCACCGGTATTAAAAAGTGAAGGAGTGAGATAACCACCAAGATCGGATGCCCTTCGGCTCGGGTCATTGCACCTCTGTCTCTTTGGAGGAGGATGTCCGTGCTCCTCAAACAAATCATTCTCCGGTTGTTGCCGACCAGAAAATTGCAGGTAGCCATGGGTGTCTCCGCCACTACTGGGAATCGAGCCGCGGGTAGCCCAGTCGGGGGCGCCAAAGTTCAGGCCGACATTAGGAGTACTGTAGCTTCTCTGATGGGTGTACTGAAGGAACGGAGAAGGCGCCGATGCTGTCACCTCTGGCGACGTCTTCGACTGAGCGTGAGGATAGCTTACGCCGGTGACAACCTCGTTGCGGATGTCTACTAACATCGATTTTAGCAGGCGGTACATCCTCGCTGCCGGCTGGTAGATATAGCACATGTCGTATATCGCCGCCGACAAAACCTGCAGGTATCGTAGGTTGCTCTGCTGGTCAAGCTCAGCAGTCCGGTTCGCGAGGGCTGCCATCAGAGCAATCGCTGACGTGCCCGCCTGCTGGATAGCGAAGATGGGTAGCCGCCTGCCGTCGAACCGGAGACGGTGGTGCCAGAAGATACGGGCGACGCGGATGGCATGCTGGGTACACATACGGCGGGCAATGGCAACTCTATGGTGATGGCTGATGCCCGGGAGCGACCCGCCGGACTGACCATATGACCTGGTAGAATTTGATCCGTCCTCATCACCGTATATAGCCCAAGGCCTGTGAAGCAGAATCATGCACGTATGGAATTGTTGATGGAGCATAAAGAAACCAGCAGGCGCTGCTTGAACGTTGGTGGGGTTCCAGGCCAAAAAGTCCGGTAAGCGGCGGTACCACGCTTGCAGTTTTCTGTCCAGCGCAAACAATCGTTGGTAGGCCTCCTCTCCTGCCTTGTTGTTTGCAAACAACAACTCGGTATATTCGTGTTGGTTCTGCATCTCCAGAATCTTGGCCGCTATGCTCATGAGCTCGAGGAGATGTTGGTGAAGGGAAATCTCCGGTGACTGAGACGTCACCATATCAAAAGGGGCCGTGGGTGATGCAGTCGGCATGGCTGGGCCCTTCCTTGGCTTGAGCCCCAGCTCTATGCCAATGTCGCGATTCCGGATGCTTGGGGAACGGCCGAGTAGAAGCGCCCAGTATCTGTCGAACAAAACACACGCCGTCATGACCCGCCGACGTAGTGGTTCTTCAGCCCTGAGAGCCTCACTGTCGCTGACCGGCACGTTTACGTGCAGTCCGATGTCGATAGCCAATCGGTTTGCCATACCAGAATATAGCCAGCCGGTTGCGTCCCTGCCAGCGGCAAATTCGAGGTCTGCGAGGATGAGGAGCGCCTGGATGCTCGGTATGCCGCCTGGTCTCTCCAGTTCAGCATCCAACATGGACTTGGACTCCCGATGGAACGTGCTCTCCCAGCTCCCGAGCATCAACCTTTTCACATCTTCTCTGTTTCGCTCCGCAAATCGGTACCCGGCAGCAAGCATCGTGATATGAAGGAATACCGAGTAATGCCTCGGGTTCTGGCTCTTTCGGCCTAACTCGAATATTTCACGGTCCACGACTTGAACCGCGGGGTTGTAATGGCCCCAGAAGCAGCTCATAAGGTGGTCATGAGTGGATGGGCCAAGAATTTTGATGACACGCTCGACACGGCTTACGTGATCTATCGTCCCTGGTGGGCTGGGCTGCGAGGTGTTTTGGGCGTGGACGTGGCTACTCGCCGTAAAACCAAAGTACTGCAGCCTCCCTGACATGACAGAGAACCTGCTCTTTACACCCAAGAATTGGCGTACATCTCCCTTCCATGGGGAGGCGAACTCTGGAAAAAGTGTAGAGTCATAGCTTGGGGCTTTGGGTGTTTGTTTATTGTCATCGATAGGATCCGTTTGTACTTCTTCCGCGCTGAATTTTGGTGGCGAGGGGTAATCTGCGACCATGGAGGAATTGGCCTGATTCGGGCCAGGAGTCTCAAAGTCTTCACAGAACCGAACATCGTGTTTTTCGTGTTCCTGCATTTCTTTCGCTTCTTGTCTCGTCTTTGGAGGGTGGACGGCTGGAGGAGGGGCGACGCCTCTTTCTCTCAGCATCTTCTCCAAGAGAGCAATTCGGTTGGACAAGGACGACATGTATGCTTTGGATATAGGCCTCTTGAAGTGTCAGATATGTCAAGTTGCGATATCATGTCGGTCCTGGTACACACCTTCGCCTCTCGTCATCGTTTCTTATGATACACTCTGCTCCGGTCTTCTTACACTGTGTGCACCCGGACTCTCCTTCGGGCACTACACAACGTATCCGCCTTTCCCGGCAGGAAGCGCAGGCAACTGAGGCCCGGTGACGCACTTGTTGTTTGCTCGAGGACCTTGGGGTATGTGATATAAAGTCAGGACTTGAGGATTCGCTAACTCCCGCGGAGGGAGATCTGTCGTTTCGATGCAGGGTGGACATGGGGAGTGTCTAAGTTGAGGTGCGGGAGCGGGACGAAGATCAAAGACGAGTTGGAGTGAAACGGCTGGAAAGGACACTGGGTCGGTGAAGTGTCTGGTTACCGCCGTAAAGTAGGATGAGTTGTCAAGAAGATGAAAGTTGTAAAATCTCGTCGAGTGGCTGGAGGAACTCGAACAACGTCTACTGGCAGCCATGGAGAACAGCGTCATCCATGGTCCAGTTAACAATGATCAGCCTCTGCCACGATTTGCTGCCATGTTATGCCCGTTAGCAAGAGCCGTGACCAAGAGAGACGAACCTGGGCCCCTGGCTTCTCCGCATCTCAGGCTGGGTGTGGGCAAGAAATTCCCCCCCTTATCCACTCGGTCCGCGATCGAACTTCCCCCGAAAGAGACCCACCTGGATAGTTGATGGAGTTCTCGAAGTCGTTGGATTGCCCCTTAGGCACTAGCGCTTCCAATAGGCACCGCAAAGACCCCGCCCTTTTTGCGCGTCGGAACGCGGGGGAGAATCTGGGGAGAGCGGAGAGGTCCACTGTGAATCTCTTTATTTTCAATTCTTCTCTTTTAGTGTGGTTGGGATGGCAATCTTGTTGGCTCCCAGTTCTCCCCCTTATCTCCAATTTTGCACTGCGAGTTCTCAACTCTTATGGATACGACGTGGTGACTTTCAGTGTCGAATTGGGGGCTGTCAACGCGGGACGTCATTGGACACCGAGAGTTCGTCGGGATTCGGGTTTATTTTCGAAGAGACAGCACCTATCAGCTTCACATCTTTTTGCTGGACATAGAAGTACAGTATGCGGCTCGCTGAATGTGCCGAGGACCATCAGTTAACCCGGTGGAGCACATTGTATGTAACCGTTAAACCCGACCAACAATGGCACGCTAAAGCTGGACACGTTTGGAGAGGCCGGGGATAGGTTGGTGTGACAATGTAACGTTATCCAGGATCCTTCCACACGCTGGCTGAGCCAACTAGAAGCCGTCGAGAAGTGCTGACGTCCCCAACCCGATCCTGGCCTCCATTTACCCCACGATACGGGCTGGCACTAAAGGAAGACGTGGGTCAAGCCAAGGCCAGAAGACCCATGAAGAATGACTTTCTTACACTACCCTCTGCGAAGGCGGAGTTGCTCAGGGACTCTCTAACTTGAGCAGTCGAAGCCGAGCGGAGCCAGACTGCAAATGCAGCCGTAATAAGTAGTTAACGCCGATGGCCAGAGCTGAGAGGCAACTGGACTGTCGCCATTCGTCAAAGCCATTATTAATGTGATACAGGTACGCCATAGTTATGACTGATTACGGAGCAGTCTAGACACCTGCTGAGTGTGATCAATTTCTTGAGAGGCGGACGAGACGGTACGAACCCCCAAAGCCTTTTCTTGGTTCGCTTGGATAGTCGACGATAGTCTAGGGGAGCCGCAAGGATCGTCATGTGCCGTACCTGCAACTACGTTCTCGTGCAGCACTCTCCATTCTCTCGGAGGCGCCGCTCGGCAAAGCACCCAAGCACTTGTTTGCCCAAGAACGAAGCTACCCCACCCGCCGCTCTCATCCGAGGCCCGCTATGTATGATACCCGGCCTGCCGGCTTCGAGCGTGGGTTTGCGGGGAGCCAGGGCGCGGAATTGGGGAAGAGGAGGCGCCAGTTTCTTGACGGCAACAAGCTATCCTGCATAAAAAGGTCGACGCTCTCCCCTGTCTTTCTCGTTTCCGGTTGTGCGTCCGCAGTAGCCATCCATGGATGGATGCGAGGACAGTTTTTGAGGGGGAGGGCAAGTATCGAAGGCTGCACTGAACAGTTGTAGAATGATTATTATCTGGAGTAAACCAACGAAACGGCACGGGTATCTAGCACCGCGGCGCCAGCAGGGCCATTGAGTCCTGCATGGGCTTGGTTGAACGCCACACGATGTTAAGGAAGGCCAACGTGACTATGACCAAAATATTATGTATTGATGACGGTCAAAGCAAACAAGAACTCAGATACCTTATGCTCTTGTGCTTGGGTTCTCCGAGTGTGGTGTCAATTCTGTGAGGGCTGTCGTGTCTTTGGGTTCTAAAGAAAGAGGCTTCTTGCCCTCAATAACTGGTGACGCAAGAGCAGTTAGTTGGTGGCTTGAGGGGGTCAAACTCGGGCATTCCGCACTTACGCCTTTGCCAGAGCTCATAAGAGCAGACAAGGATGATGGGTGTCCCGATCATGACGGTTGTCCAAGTTCTCTGGTAGGCCTTGTACTCGGGACTGTTCGGGTCAACCCGCTTAGGTTGCTCGCTTGTGGCCTTGAAGTTTCCGGACTTCCCAGCTGGCTTTTGGCCCGTAGCGTAGCTCTGTCTAGAGATTCTTGGGGTTCCGAGCGCGGGTGAGGCATGGGCATTCCGTAGTAGAAGGCGGCTGCGCTGGGTCAGCGAAGAGGACGTGAAGGCGTTCATTTTCGTCGAAAGGAACATGGTGTCTTGTCGGGTCTCGATAGCTAGGTAGCAATGCTTGTGTTCGGTTTTTTTTTTGTTTTGATTTCCCTAGAGGAGGCAAGCGAAACGAGAGCCAGTCAGCCAATCAAGAAGACCAAATCGTTGCTGGATCGCTTATGAAGCGATGAACCGCAGAAGTACCTGAATGAGACAATTGATACGCACCCTCAGGAACGAGGACTTGGTAAAAGTCTGGGGTAGCTCAAGGAACCCTTGTGTCTGCCCCGGATTCGTGATGGAGAAAGTCGAGTCAGGGCCTTGCAGTCCCATGATCCATCAAAAGTGGATGTCCATCAGACCTGTTTGTTCCCTTGGCGCACGGTCAGGTCGCCCCTTGATTTTACTAGCGTACGTATGTCGGTGCAATTCAGTCCGAGTGTGGCCCTAACCCTGGCAGCATACAAGTAGTCCAGCAGCACTCACTTGTCCCCGCTGAGATAGAATCCAGCACCGCTTTGAGGGATTTAATGCTAAATTTCCAAGTGTCTAAACCATATCCCCTTGTGGTGTAGTTGGATATCACGTTCGGCTGTAATTGTATGATTGTATACCGAAAGGTCACCGGCTCGATTCCGGTCGAGGGGAAATATCTTTTTGTGCCTTCTTCTTCTTTCTTCTTCTTCCCTTGTTCATCCTGCTTCCTCCTTTTTCTTTTTTCACCAACTTAGCATTGCCCTTCTACCCCGTATTCTGAAGCACTTTCTTGAACAATGGGCGACTCTGTGAACAACAACACACACAAAGAAGACGACTCTTGTTGGCGAGCCATTGTTCATCTCGACTCTCCTGTCCTGCAGACATGGAATCTATAAAGCTCGATCTCGTGCCGTCTCCCAATTTGACTTCCCGCCTTGTTCGATGTTAAACGCTATCATCTCGCACACCCGGCCGCCTCAATACCATCAAACGCGAGCCCGTTATCCATTGTCCGATTCTTCTACACTAACAAGATGCCCTACTCAGTCAGTAACGGCCACAGAGTGGCGGCCCATACCTCCGTAACGAAACCCCAAATCGAAAACAGCAGATTCCCTCGTCAAGGTGCGTCTCACCGCAAGGTTGTCAACATAGGCGACGTTCTTGATGACCGTTATAGAGTTCTACACATGATCACCCACAACAGCAATTCAGTCTCCTATCTCTGCCGTGACTTGGAAGACGACAAGTGGCGCCGCGTGACCGTTGCCCGCTCACATCAATTCAGCACCGCCATGGACGAGTATGAAAAGGGAGCGGAAGCGAGGCGTCGGCTTGGCGAGAAACAAGCAGAGCGCCAGGGCTTCTGTCTCAAAGTCTTCTCCGTTGCTGGGCCCAACGGTGTCTACATAAGTCTCGTTTACCCTCTGAACAGTCACGAGGTGGATTTGCGGTTTTGTGCACCTTACGATGAGGCGTATTTTATGCATCAGCTTATGCAGTGGGAGAGCCTGGAGTAGATGTGGACGGGGCTGAGAGTGCTCATATCAGGCGTTATAAGGTCTGTTCATGCTATCAGTGAGTTAACACTTTTCCTTGTTTAGAACGCCCAGTAGCGGTTAGCAGTCCGTACGTCTTTGGTGATGACGTTTGATAATATATCGATTTCATGAACTTCGTTTCGGTTCCCTTGTGAGTTGCTGATGTAAGGATTATGCTCTCAGTTTTTTTCCTCTCTGAATGTCCTATGTCTGCGTGTCTCCTCGTATTTCCTTCTCTGAATTTTCATTTCATGTCAGTATGACCCGTCATCTTCCTTCCCTCAGACACCCAGTCACCAGTTCCGAATGCGTTTCTGAAGCCCAGGATTTCATGCCCTGACTTTCAAGACTTCCCACAACCTCCATACCTCAATCCCTCACCACTCCGCGGCACCACCACATCCTCCAAGTTTCTTTCCCCTGCCTTAAATTGCAGACCCTTCAACAATCCATAGACAACCTTAAGCGTCGGCGTCTCCACCCCAACCCTCTCTGCCTCCCTGAGCGGTTCGCCTACGAGGTTCTCAAACTCGATAAACTTACCCTTCTCCATATCTTGCAGCATGCTCGGTTTAAAGAACTTATCATACACGTCCGCCGTGATCATCGTCTCGACCAGCTTCTCCTCGAGCTCTACGCCGGCCGCCGCTTTTGCCGTCGCTCGGATCTCCTGCATTAACGGCCGGATCAAGTCGTCGATGATGTGCTCGGTGAAGCGCATGCGTGACGTGTCCATGCCCAAAATCGCGGCCACGCCATTGTACGAGGCGTTGTACAGCAGCTTACGCCAGCGGGAGTAAGCCACGTCCGGCTCGTAGGTGCAGTCAACCTCGGGGCCGCAGGCGGTGTAGGCGTCGACGAGGCGGCGGGCGGCGGCAATGGCCCTGGATTTCTGGCTGTATGAGGCTGCGATAGGGTTGTCGAAGACGCCGATGAAGGTGCGTTCGTGGTTGTGGTGGTTGATGGTGCCTGGGGGCGACTCGATGGCGCCGCTGAAGGTGATACCGGAAAGGATGGGGTTGGCGGGGAAGGCGGAGAAAAAGGGACGCTCGATGTTTAGGCCGTTTTGGATGAGGACGATGGCAGTGTGGCCGGGCGTAATGGCAGGCGCGATGATATCAGTGATTTGAGGCGGGATGTCGGGTACGTTCTTGGTGGTGACGATGACGTAGTCGTAGGGGGCTCTCCATGACTCCTCGCTGACAGATGGGATACTATCAAGAACTACACGAATGTGAGCTTACGGTGGTGACGGATTGAAGAGAACTTGATGGGTCCAGAACTGACTTGAAGTTGGGCGCCAGTCCAAGACTTCACCGTGGTCGACCGAGTGAATGGTAAAACCATTCTCGAAAACAGTCTCAAAGTTGGACCGCAGAACCGCGGCTACCTCGGCTTTGCCTCCTTTCTCGAGGGCGTAGGCAACCATGGTACCAATGCCTCCCGAGCCCACGAGGAGCACTTGCAGCTTCTTGTATGCGTCAACGGAGCCCATATTGTGGTGTGTGTGCTCTTTCCGTGCTTGACTTGGGCTGTATGGGTTTGCGTTTCTTTCTCTTTTTTTTTTTTGAATGTTGAGCGTCAGAGAGAAGGATACCTGATTTTGCGAAGAAATCAAGTTTAGTCGTCTTTAAATACCTTCAAGGAGGGATTCAAAATGATGTGCCAAAGGTTCGTGCTCAACGGCCAGCGATCTACCGGTGTCAGGTCACGACTTACCTCTCCACATCGATGCTCCAACAGATGGAGGGGGTTTTATCTGATGTTTGGTCACAGCCTCTGCGATATCGCTTGACGATAGCAGTTCACCGGGAAAGAGTGTTTCGCAAGTGTCCTGGTAAGACGGCAGTCCCACCAAGCTACCTAGATAGCCCATGATATAGCAGGCTCATCCGGTCAGTGTTTGTCGTTGGAACCAAAATGGCTCACTCATTGCTTTCAGGCGCGCGGCGGGATGATACTGGTCATGTGGGGGTCAATAGATGTGGTTGGAGTCTCCGAACACAAAAAAAATGAGGCTCAAAAACGGGCGTTTGCAGAAATCGATGGGGGTTAGCTGATAAGAATGGGTAGGCCCTGACAATGCTACACAGCCAGATGTCAACATCGGTTGTTGGCTTTGGAATCTTAGTGTAGAATGATATGTCTTTCCTTGCTCTGTTCAGAAGAAAGATTCTTTGCGCTTGTCCCCCTACCGGCGAGTACCAAAGGGAAAGTGTCTGCAGGGCGTAACAAGGGACACGTCGGTCAAGATATGACAAACAGGCGCAAAATATCTTCAGAATCTGATACCAACATCGTTCGATCCCCAAACTTCAGGCTTGTCTCGACAGGTATGATTCATGTTGGGATCATCACCTCTGGAGTATTATAGAGTCCTGAACTCAAGATACGATGTGGATCATGTGATGGACGACGTGCTCTTTGTATGACCAAAGAAGTTGATAAGACAGTTTGACTCTCACACTTAAAATGTTGTCACTTCTTTATCGGCTGTTTTACGTACAGTCATTTCCTCAATCAACCAAGAAGCCGGACGAGATGGCGTTCTCATGACGATGTAAAGCGATTTGCGATTTGCAGCAAGGGGCTGTTTGACCCTTCCTTGAACATTTTTGGGAAGATGGAGGCCAGTGTGGGCCTGGGGAGATTGGCGAAAGAAGAGATGGAAAGAAAAAGGGGGGGAGGGGGTTGGGAATCTGCAGAGTTTGTTGGAGACGTTGGGGTTGACGAAGGAGGCACTGGAGAGAGGGCAGAGGAACAGTGGGGGACAAGTGGAAGGCGTGATGAATGGTGAGCAGGAGATATGCGATGGCGATCTAGGAAGCTCGGTGGAGGTGATATCTTCCATTGAACGAAGGGTGGGGATTGAGGGATGACGGATACGGGTGAGATACTGATTCGATCATGGAAGATACCCTCTACCTCGCTGTCCATAAGGCTCCCATTTTCTTCACTGCCTTTCTGTATTTGCATCTTTGGAAGGAGTCATTTCTACGCAATAGATAACATACAAATCGCTCCTACCCCAAAAAACCAAAAAAAAAAAAGAACAAAGAGGGCAGAAACACAGTTGGTGCACAGCTCAGGCGACAAAAAATGACAAAAAAGGAAGGCGTTGTAAACGCCGGGAATTGAGCCCGACGTGGGGGTCGAACCCACAACCTTGAGATTAAGAGTCTCACGCTCTACCGATTGAGCTAGCCGGGCAGCTGAAAGAGCTGCCATGATTGGTTGAGAATTCGAATTAGAGCTCAGACTTATATACCTAACCTGTTACTGTGCAGCATCTACGCTCTTGATTCTGACATCGCAAGTCCCAATCTCACCCCGTCCGTCACTCTCACTTTCCGCGTGGATGGCAACCAGCCATAGAACAAACAAAATGATCAAACTGTGAGCCCTGGGGCCCGAGTCCTCCAAATTAAAACAAGAACTCTACCTCCTCCCACTGCACATACTCATCAAACAGCGCCGTTCCCTCCGTGCTTTTTATCAGATGCTCTCTTTCCTTCTCCCTCGTTCCAGTTCCCTCCCATCCTCCCGCTCGTATGCGCCTCCCATACAACCTGGCAAGGTGATAATGCGCACACCTACCTACCACTTTGGCAGTCTTGGTCACGATCGATGACGACGACGACGACGAGTCATTCCTAAGTAACATCTTGAGGGAAACGCTGGGGAACGGGATTTCGCTGCTGCTGCTGCTGCTGCTGCCGCTGGTGCTTTGGGTTTGAGGCTGTAGTGAAGAGGTACTAATGCTACTACTAGCAGACAACAAATTCTCGGTCGTAGTGATGACTGATGAAAGGTATGACTCGGCTTGTGCGTCTTTGCCGTGGGAGAGCAGCCAGATGGCGGATTTCAGGTGGGATGTGGCTTCTTGGAGGAGCTTTTTGGCAAGATCTTGTTTCTGTCGGTGTTCTTCTTGATCTTGCAATGGTGGTGCTGGTGGTGGTGGGTAGTGGTTGTTTGTTGATGGGCAAGCCGAGAGGTTTGGGTTGGGGCTGAAGACTCTTTGTTCTGGAACTTCGACAACCGGTCTTCCGACGTTGGCGTTGGCGGCCACTGATAACGGTGGCGATGGCGACGATGATGCTGGAAACGGGATATGATGATCCAGGATGGGTCGACCGTCCATCGTATCCCTGAGAAGCAAAAACGACTCTAGGGATACCGGCGACACACCCAAGTCTTTGATTGTCTGCTCCAGCACCGTGTTAAGAAACCGCTCGGCGGATTCTTTGAAGTCGTGGCTGCTGCTGTCCAACATGAGCCGCCTTGGTGCGGATGCAGATGTATCCGAATGGTGATGGTGGTCGACCGGCTGACTATTGCTGCTGCTGTTCACGTTCAGGTATGGTGGGTGTGACAGAGACAGGTAATAGTCGGCATCATACCCGGCAGCTGACACGAAGCCCTCCTGTTCGGCGGCGGCGGCGGCGGCTCGACCACCGCCATTGGCGACACCACTGCAGCTACTGCGTCGGTAAGCTATTCCCATCATTTCTCCGGGCCGGCCACCATCAGCAAGTCCACCGGGCAATAGCGGCAGAAGATGTGGTGCCGAGCAAGCATTATGTGTTTCGTCAAGAAGTACCCTAGCAATCGAGACCAGCGGATACGCTACTGGCAGTTGAGCCACGTCCGCACACAACCCAAAAGCGTAGACAAAGTTAATTATGTAGTAGAATTTGGCCCCGATCACGCTCTGGACCATGGGCTCGAGCATAGCGAATGATCTGTTGATGGTGCGGAAACGACGGACAATATCCCGGGCGGCTATGCTGACGTTGGCGCCACCACCGGAATCGGAGGACAGCTGCACCAAGATGTCACGGTAAAAGGCGGTTTTGTAGCGGATCGTCATCAACCACTCTAACGCGTGCGAGTACCCCAGCCAGTATTGTGTTGTGCCCCAGGTCTTGTCGTTGTCTTCGTAGAGGAGGGTCTTGTAGATGCGAGTCAGGAACCTTTGGAAGGAATGGATGGCTACGGATTGTCCGACAGGAGGCAGAGTTGCGGAGTGACCGAAGGTGGCTGGCGATCGAAGGGCTTGCGTGGGAGAATCAGGTTGTGTATATGGGGGATAGAGTGTTGAGTTAGTAGTTCGGGGATCCATCCCGTCCATGATGGGGGCGGATGACGCGGTCATTGGTCTTGTGAATGACGGCACATTGTGGGTGTAGTGATCCGATCCGGCTGATAAAGAGAGGGACGGAGTGCTGGCCGATGGTTCATGTCGGTAATGTCGATGGTGTCCTGAAATAGGAGAGGGAGTTCGGCAAGTTATTTCACGTGCTACTGCCGGGCTGTGGGGCCGGTCGGCCTCGAGCAGCCGGGCGATGTCCAGCCCTTTCCGTTTAACGTAGCTATTGACTCGGTCCCAGTCGATCTCGCGACCTCGTATTCTATAAGTGGTTGGCTTCCCGAGCTTCTCCCTCTCTCGTCTCAACCGGAAGAGCTCTACCACTTCCGACTCCTTGAAGTTCTTGTCCAGTCCCCAGGCCTTGATCCGAGTTTTATACATCCGTTGTCTGTGGGAGGGGTCAGTCCACAGGATCCAATATACTTCGAGCGAGCGCGGGAGCTGATATGTTCTCTTACGTCGCCCTGAATCCACAATGCTCTTCCATGATCCTCATCACTTCCTTCAACGACAGATTTTGGCTCTGGTAAAGCTCCTGAATTCTCCCTCGATGCTCCTCCCACTCGTCACCACCTGCCCACCCTGGGGGTTGCTGTTGTTGATCGTGTCTCACGCCTTCCATGGTGTCCGCGACATATTCTTTTCCTGTTTCCTCGACGAACGCGGGAGTCAAACCCTTCGTCTCGAAGATACACTAGTTAGACACTCATTCGCAGCAGCTTGGATGCATTGCCCCGAAATGCGCCAGCAGTAGAAGGTCCAGTCTAGTCGATGTCTGATTTGTATTACCCTTGAGTGAACCCAGGAGCTGTCGTCTCGATGCTGGCTAAATGAAAGCGAGTTTTTGATCTGCTTGTTTCGAGCATATATTATGGGTGTCAAGAGGATAAACACAATACTTGGATCCAGCTCCCCAAGCCTGCCTGCACAATCGATATGGGAAACCCAGTGGTGCCGATCGGGACTCGCCATGAGGACACTACCTGATGTTCCAGGATGACTAATTCAATGTGTGGCACTTTTGAAGCAAGGAAAAACGGAGGCCTTTATGTCCATGACACGTGGTACCAGGACGCACAGTCTGGGGAACTGGAGCAAAGGTCGTTGTTGTTGAATGGGCACCACGGCGCATATCTGCCACACAATCCGAGAGGCGGCTCGACAGATCATGATTGATAACCATCGTCAACGGTCAGTGAGATACTATTTGCTAAGTTGGGCGGGGAGATCACCAAAGGGGAAGTCTCTAACCACGGCAAAAGGGCACGGCATTGGTCCAAACAAAGCCGGGTTACACGTTGGACCAGCTCCATATCAGAAGTCCCTCGCATCAGCCCGCGCCGTCA